AGGCCACGGCGGCACCCAGTGCTTTCAGCACCGGGCTCTGCGTTAGCAGCAGAGAGCATTTAGATCTCTGCGGATGACCCAGAGTGTTCCGGGAGTGCGATACTTGGTTGTGGTTGGGTGTCTGGTTTACCATCCCGCAGCATCTACGACATACTGCAAGGAATGGCCAAGGGTATTTCCCTGGCCTCCAACATGCTCAGGCAACTGAAGGCTGCCAAACGCCGAAGCCGTAAAGCACCTGGGAATCTCAACAATCGATATCCTTCATCAGTGAACCAGCTCCGTGCATGCACATGCATGCACAACTCCAAGAACCGCTGAAGCTGAGGGCAGCAACAGCAAGCTAAGCAGCGCCCCCCGAAAACAGAGAGAAGTGTCGTCATCGCAAGTGAGCAGCGAGACTGTGTTCTTCTCTGTGCAGACACAAGAAATCAAAGGCAAGTGAAACAACGAGCTCTCTGTTGGCAGTTCTAGACATATAGAACATCGTCACGTGGTTCGATTCCTGAGGCCAACGACTCTGACCAGCATCATGTCCCTCAACATTGTCAGCGCGCCAGTAAGTAGATTCAGCCTGCAGAAACCACAAATGCCCGAATCTCGATACAAAGGAAGGAATCCGAGAGTCACGCAAATTGAAAGAAGCGGGTTAACATGCGCACAGATGGGAGGCTATGGTACCGACTTCGAGCCCGGCATCTCCACCCAAGTCACCGGAACCTGCGCACAAGCCGGCTTTAGGTATTTTCCGCTTCGGGGTGTCATTTCCACGCAAGCACTGCGATGAGATGTTTTGCTGTGTAGTTCCTGTCGCTGCTGTAACATCAAGCCTCTTAATCCCCCCCAGTGATCGATTTCGGGTTGGCAACCCCTACGTCCAAAGATTCTGCTGGTGGAGAGTGGGCTCGCCGGTAGCACACCCCACAAATTTCAGCCTTTTTTTCTGTGCCCGGCCCCCCTCCTCCTCCCTCGTCTCTGCCGCGATGCATTTTGTCAAGTCACTGTACTTTTGAGCTGTTTGTTCACAGGATTTTCTCCTTGCGGCGAGGCAAGACGGGCAAGCTTACATCATTCGTGAAGCTGATGCCAAAGCTTGGGAATTCTGGGGCTACGTCTTGTGCGTCGTTGCAAAGCTAGATTCCCCTTTCAGCATATGGGAGGTTGTATACGAGACCAGTGAGAACTGTGACACGATTATTATAGCAACGTCTATCGGATTATGAAGGGAATGTGCCACCTTTCGCATGGGATGCTTGTTCAGAGCCTCGGCATGAGAACAAACACTGACTTTCAAAACCTTTCTGGGGCAAATGTGCTTATTCACTCACGACCTCGCCTGTGTGACCTACCCGTTGCTTTCCCAAACAATGCACCTGCTGCAAGTACAGAAGGCCGAGGCGGACAATTAGCTGAGGCTGCACGCCAAGGCATATTTTTTTGGGCCGGGGGGTAGGGGCGTCCACCACTACTCTGCAGGAGGGTAGCTAGCGTAAAGGCTTTTACAAAAAGGAAAGCACAGTGCTTGTGTACAAGCGAACAGCTGCAGATGACGTTGCTAGAACCCGGAGCAACAGGCATGAAACAGTATTCTTAGTTCCTTCCTATTGTTGCTGCTACTACTACTACTACTACTGCTACTGCTACTACTACTACCACTACTACTACTACCACTACTACTACCACTACTTACTACTTGTAGGACGACTGCTAGTATTACTACTAATACGACGACTACTACTACTACTACGACTACAACTACTACTAGTACTAGTACTAGTACTAGTACTAGTACTAGTACTAGTACTAGTACTACTAGTACTAGTACTAGTACTAGTACTAGTACTAGTACTAGTACCAGTACTAGTACTAGTACTAGTACTACTACCACTACCACTACCACAACCACAACCACAACCACAACCACAACCACAACCACTACCACTACTACTACTACTACTACTACTACTACTACTACTACTACTACTACTACTACTACTACTACTACTCTACTACTACTGCTGCTATTATCAATTATTACTATTACTACTGCTGGTATGACCACCACTATACTAGTATGACCACGACGACGACGACTACTACTACTAAAGAAGAAGAAGAAGTAGTAGTAGCAGCAGTAGTCAGGGGCGAGGGGGCAAGAACAAAATAACGAGAAAAGTGCATGATGACTACTTCCTCGCGTGCTTCCTGAATTAGCTCCATCGAGTGGCACACTTTTGAGCCCTGAATGTTGGTGAAGAAAGTTAGCAGCAGCAGCAGCAATAGCAGCAGGGGCATGACTCGGCGACCCGTGCTTCTGAATCGGTTCTCCTAAGCGGAGCGGAGCGGAGCATGAAGATTATCTAGCGCCGAAGAGGGTTTCTACGTCGACATGGCCAGGCCACTTGCGAGCCTCAGCCACGCCCTGGCCAAAGATCTGCGACAGAATCAAAACCTTTCGGACTGACGAAGCAACTGCGGTCATGCTGATGCGTGGTGGTATGTGCTCAAGCCCATAGACAGGACCACGAGTGGCCTCGATGTCGAAAGCCCAGCGATATATATGCAAAGAAGCGAAGATTCGCTTCGCTGCCTGAGTGCGTTCCCACTTTCCGATGCTTCAGTGCATGGTTCTGTTGGGCCCTGCGTTGGCTTTGAAGAGCTTGAAGCCGCATTGGGTGTCGTTTATGACGCCACCTACCTGCCCAGCAAGCAATGATGTAGCTGGCCGTGTCTCTCCGAAGCACACCGGGGTCGCAGCCAGCAACCACACGGCAAACTGAAAACCAACCATCAGCACGTTGCGATACCAGGCCCTGGCATGGGAGCAGCTCACGGAATAAGATGGAAGGAAAGCGGTGATAAAGAGTGCATCATATCTGGGGCCACTTCTGGGGCCTCTTGTTCAATGCTTCTTGTCGAAGGTGATGCCTTGATCCAAAAGCCATCTGAGGAGCGTCATCCTGACCGGCACTATCTAGCAAAGCTGCCGACTCCTGAATAACCTCAGGCCATCCTGCACAAAGCCACGTGGTCACGATGAGGATCATGAACAAGGCGATGAAGGTGATGATGATGTTGATGATGGTGGTGCAGTTGCTGATCGCAATGTACTTGATGCTGTTGCGTCGACCAATAAGCGGGAAGATGACAATGCTACTGCTTTCAAACTTGTTGCCATAAATCTTAAGGGAGAGGCACCGCAGTTTCTTTCGATGATGCTGCTGTTAACGCTTCAAACTACGACCACTACCAACTGCCATTGCTGCCACCACCACGCTAGGGAAGAAAAAGATGACGACGATTCCTATGACTAACGCTGACGATTCAGGACGAATAGTGGCACTACCGCTACCAGTCACTACCACCACCAAGCCTCTGGGCCCGCAACAAGCTGAACAAGACTAGACCATGGGACCACTTGCATACGCATGCAACAAACAATCAACAACGAACAACAGGAACAAGCAACAACAAGCGAAAACCAAGAGGCACAGCAACCGACAGCCAACAACCACAAAACACAAACACCTAGAATCACCAGAAAGGAATTTTGCACCTTAGTTTGCAGATTTCTGTTCGCCGACGAAGTGTGGTGTTGCTGCGGACGGCATTATCACCTCGATTTCTCCCTCCTCAGCCGGCTCCGCCCAAATAGTAGCCGTGTTTGGGATGGTCCTTGCCTTGCACTCCCTTACCAATGCTCCTCAGATGCTGCTGAAACTGAAGGATGGCCGAAGGAACGGGCTCACAACCATGAGACCCTCACGAACTGCAAGCTTTTGGAGTCCTTGGCCCCGAGGCTTCGCTCAAGGCGCTCAAGGTCACGGACCGACGTTGCGCCGTCAGCATCCGCCATGAGCAGCAGCTGTCCTTCTGGGATGTATAGTTCTTGGCGCTGAGACGTCTGTGTTTAAATGTCATCAGAACCGTGAGAATGAATACCGACAGCAAATCACAAGGAGCAGCAGCAAGAACATACCAAACAAAATCCAAGCACATGAAGAATACTGAGAAGAATCTACAATGAAAAAAAATCGATGCAACCCCGGCCCGACCCGTCATGCCTGCAAGTTTCATTTATCTGTTTCTCACGCAGGCAGTGCTGGTCTTTCGACAGCCGCGTGACCGCAGCTACCAAGGATCAAAAGCGCTGGGCCCGGCAATCGCGCGGTTTGTCCTAAGAGCCATACTCTGCCTCCTCCCATTTAGAACTGCCATCCTGCTGCCGCATAGTGATTCTCTACAAGCTCGGGCTAACAGGCTTCTGCAAAGCTACCGCTCGCATGGTAGCGGAGCCTCTGCGAGAGGTTCGTTGAAAGAATCAGCCTCGCAACGATCCAGGGACAACGGCCCAACGGTAAGGGGCACGGTTGGGAAATATGAGCGGAAAGAATGAGAAGGATACTGCAGCCAGTCGCTCGAAGGATGGCGTGCTGTCACGGCGAAGCCTCTACGTTTGTTGCTTACGAAGAAGCAGCCTGCCTTTGGGAGCAAGGGCTGGTTTCAACAAAGGATATACAGCAACTCCTCGGCTTAGGGCGGAGGTGACTGGTGTCGCACTTAGCGACAATGGTCCCTTCTGCAGACGGCTGGCCTTTTTCCGTTGGCCGCCTTGAGCCACAATCAGTGGCCAGGTCGTCGCTCGTAATCCTGAAGCCTGACAAGTTGTTTCGGAATGGGCAAAACAGAAAGACACCGGTCACAATCTAGATTCCGAAACAACCATAAAGTAAACTGGCTCAAGCTTCTGACCCCGTTCCAGCGCTTTGCGCTGCAGTGCAACACCCTCTTCGACAACAGACCAACGACCACACTCCATAACATAACGGAGATAGCCTCCTGGGTGGCACTTCGTCAGAGGGTCAGCAAGCATGGCTCTCGTGTCGATCCATTTGATAACTCCAGATGTCTCGCTCAAATCGTGCTTTATCACTGACAGATCGATGGCTGTACGTTTGTCAGCGATGTAAGCAGAAGTGCTCGTGAGCTTTCCTAAGGCATCATACAAACTCTTGGAAATCAACAGCAGCGAAGAAAGGAATCTTACATGAATGCTCGCGCCACTCATGGGGCGTCAACATGCCATAGAAAGCTTCGAGAAACAATAAGCGGTGCCAATGGATGGCACCGATGCCAGCCTGCAATGACTGGCCCTCGGTCGCTAAGGTATCCACAACCTTCCGCTTCAAGCGGAAGCTTTTCCAAGCCGCGACGGTGGTGAGCACTGGTTTCCCAGAGCTGGCCAGGGCAACATCGTGATATATGATGATCTGACCTCCCTGGCTACTCAGCTGTTGCAGCTGATTCAAACTGCTGTGGATCTTGCTAGCCGGAACTCCATCTTGTGCCGTGGCCTTCTTAATCCCTGTACATCCGGTCCAAGGCACTTCGTGAAGTACACGAATTCCCTTGCTGTCACACCACGTGTCTTCAACAACTTCATGCTGGATGCATTCATCGGCGCGCCAGACCGTAGTCTCCGAGCTCGTCTCCTCCCAGTAGTCGTCAGGATGGTTCTCCAGCCAAGGCATGTCCTTGGCGTTTCCCCAGGCCGCGTCTGTCGCTGCGGATATCCGCAATGACTTCCAGGGAATGGGCATAACTTTTATGCCCAATGAAGCATGTTTCAATGCCTCTTCGGCGATCTTGTTCCCCTCTAGTAGATCCAGGACCCTCGGCTCCGGGAAGGACTGCTGCAGCAACGATACTCGACCTGCCAGGTCGCACCTCGTCTCCTTGGAGAGCCAGGAGAGGACTCCCATCTGGCTCCTCAATTGCTCCACCTCAGCCACAGTACACTTGGAGTAGCGCTGTTGCCGGCGGCTCCGTGACACGGGGATCTTGGTCACCTTGTCGCACACATAGAACTCCTGATCGATCTTGATCGAGCCGTCAGCTTGCAAGGAGATGTCCTTGCCGCAGAATCTCCCTGTTCCAGTCTGGTTCTTTCCCAGCAGGTATTCTCGAGCAATCTGCTCGATATTGGCCCAGTGCGCCGGACTGCCACCATGCAAGACATCATCTGTGGCCACTCCCACAATGCCTTGCAGTATGTTCTCTTCCGTTCCTTGCTTGCCGTGCAGGAGAAACACACAGGGATCGGCCTTGCTCGGAGTGTATCCGAAGTCCGTCTGTAGACGTCGGGCCAAATGCTTGTACCATGCCAGCGGGCCATCCGTCAATCCATAGCAGGTCTTCAGCAGATTGATGAGTTGCCGCGGGTGTGCTCCTGGTACTCCCTCGAGCGGTTGGGAGCAGTATAGCTGTCGATCAATCTTGTCTCCGGAATGAAACGCTCGAGTAAAATCCAGGAACCCGGGAACCCACTGCATCGAAGCTAAAACCTGAGCTATGAAAATGACTGAATCTATCCCAACTTGCGGTGTCCTGCATTCGACCTCGACCGCTGCAGCCTCGGAGGATCCTTTCATGACATGCCTGCACTTGGCCTTACAGAAGCCGCTCTCCTGATCATCAAGCAACAGGTCCTCGCTGCGAGCCTTCGCCACATCGGAGGGCTCCAGGGGCCTCTTGGTGATCACGTAGCGGGACTCCATGATCTTGTCGGCCTTGCAGCGGCGGAGCTCGTCGGACTCCTTGATCGAAAGCAGCTTGTAGGCACCGGTCGCGAGGTTATTGGAGACCTCCTTCGCAATAGCTCTTTGTAGGCGAGCTGCGTCCTTGCCACGGAAGTCCTTGGCGTGGGACTCCTTCTTTTGCCGTTGCTTGGCCAAGGCCTGCAGCTGAGCGTTGTAGATCTCCAGGAGATGCATTCGGCTACGTTTGCCGGGTGGCTGGTCGCCTTCATCCAGTTCACGTTTCAATTCCCCTTCCATCAGCGAGGGACGTTCTCCTTCGCCGCCGCCGGCTTCCGGTACTTCTGGAGTCACATCCGGATCAACCTCCATGTCGCCAATGCCGCCAGTGGCTCGACCGGTGAAGCCGGTCTTTCGGCATCTCCGGCTGTCTCTGCAGCCGGCACGGGTAGCGCTTCTCCTTCGGGTACAGGGCCTGATCGATAATGTCCCGTCTTTTGCCGTACTCGCCCCTGCTCGCGTGGCGGAGCTCCTCGTCGAGCGGGCACCGGAGGTCCTTGGTGACCTGGAGCACTTCTTCGGAGGCCCGGCTGTGATGAAGAATCCGAAGAAACCGTTCTCGCTCCGGGTGGCCAAGTCCCTCGTGAGCCCGCCGGACCATCTTCTCCAGGGTGACCTTCTGCATTCCGGGAAAGTGTCGCATGTTGCGGCCGTTCTTCGTATCCGCCTTTCGGCGGAAGATGGTCCCCACTTGCGGTTTCCCCGGTAGGGCTCGCTCTCGGTCACGTAGGTCTCGCCATCGAATCTCGTCTTCAATCTGGCTCCACCGTCCTTGGTCTTCTGGCTTGAAGTTCTCCTCCGTAGGCGCTATCATGTGGCCACCTTCGTTGTCTACGTGGGCCCAGGCATCGGGCCCCCGTCATCACCGGCATGTACTTCATGGCATCCGAAGTGGCCGGACTCATAGTTCCGGTGGATCTCCTCCAGCTCTTCGGGTAGAAAGTAGGCCTCGTCGTGCGCCACGTCCTCCAGAACCATATGTTGTCGGCGGTCGTCACCTTAAGGTTCCTCAATTTCCGGCTTGTGATGGCGCTGTAGGCGAACCGGACGCCATAGGCAAGGCCCTCGCCTTCGGCCGGAGTCGGGCCACCACGGTTGCCCAGGAGATCGAGGCGAGGTAACAGGGCCGGATAGTTGGTGATCACCTCGATCTTCCGGTCCTTGCTTGGTGTTTCCGTCGGCCATTTCTCGAATCGCCGCCGGTCTACGCCGAGCTCCTCTCCCGCCAGAGCTGCTCGCCAGTTGCTAATGTTCACTCAAACACAAGCGCCTGCGGAGTACACAAAATCAGCACATTGGGCTCAAACGAATTCGGGAGCTCACAAAGTAAAACAAATGTTCATGTAAATACCGGCCAGGAAAACAAATGGAAAATATGTGTACATGCTGTACGACTGTACGAGTACAAGGTGTGCAAAATTTTGCACCCCGCCTAAAGCATGCCGAAGTCCAACTAAGGCTAATGCTTTCACATAACTTTGCGACTTTAAAAGCCACACTGTACGGCACGGAGCTCAAAGCTACACAGAAAGGTTTCACTTCAGTGCACAAGCTCTGCCGAGAAGGTCTTTGGCTTGCAAGAGCTACGGTCTACAGCTACCCTAAGGGTGCGGTGGCACCGTCTGTCTACGGAAGCCGGAATGCATTGCCCTGGTGCTATACGCTCCTGCTGTTGAAGCTTGACGCAGGCAAGCGAACCCGAAGCAAGCGCAAGACAAGCAGAGGCTCCACTGAAGCGAAGAAAAGACTTGTTGCAGGGCGCTGAATGAGGATAGCACCATCCATGTGGGATCATGCAAGCACGATTTGATTATCAAGAAAGCGCTTGCCCTGTACGCAAAACAGCCGAAGGAAAACTATGCCCACGCCTAAAATGATTAGAACCTCCTAATTAAGGTTCAGAAGTGGCGGCATGCATCATCGCCACAACACGTGTCAGCAGTGCACTCCTAGTGCACACAGTTTCGGGTTTGCCAAAATGGCACGCGTCACAAGTATTGATGGTGCAAAATGCACCATATGCACAGTCAAGAAGGCCACAAGATATATGCTCAAGATTGTAAACACCAGAAGTTGTCAAGGGCCAAATCATCAAGCTTGAAGCACCTCAGGCGATGGAAGCAACGTCCAGCATGGGAGATCCAAACTCGATCTGCTGGTCAATTCCTTCGCCTTGGAACAGCAATCGGGTATCCATGGATTTCGTAAAAGGACTGGGTGGACAGCTCGGAGTCGGCCGGCGTGGCGGGAGAACGATTTCCAGCAGGCACAGGAGTCTCTGCAACGGGGAACACGCCTGCTGGGGCAGCAGAGGACGCAGCCTCAGGGTGATGAAAATCATCATCACCAGCACACTGCCTCGGACCTGGCCTGGATGATGCCTTGGACCTTGCACCTTTACGCATCGCACTCGCCACATGTGGCGGGCTCACCGCCTCATCATCAGTATCCAAAGCCATGGGATTCGCAGGAGTCCCAGGTGCAGCAACACCAACATGCACATTGAGCCGACGATCAAACTGAACCGAAACAGCACTTTGCTGGTGGGGGCTCGAAATCTGCAACTGAAGCTGGCTCTGAGAAGAGCTTCGGCAACACAGGGTGCGGATGCACACTCCAAGCATAAGCATCAAGATGCACGTGAGAAGGATCACAGAAGGCTGCATAAGCATGTCGACGACGGACACACCTGTATCATCACGGACCCACAAGCCTAGGAACCAAACTAGAACCCGGTTGGCCCAGTCAGGCAAGTCATCGTCCTGATCAGTCAAGCCGTCTCCACGTCAGTATTGCCCGTGGCCCGGCCCAAGGCACATATGACGGCCACCACGATGGCTTGCACCATCGGCTTGCTAACGGTGCAGGTTGAAGAGGCACGCACCGTGCGTATGGCGTCCCGCATGGCCTGCCGGTAATGCAGCTCTGCGATCTCATCTTCCCCAACAAAGCACTCCCGTAACAACATCCGAGAAGATTCAAAAGTGTAAGCATGCGACCCCTGGAAAGCCCTTTGGTATTCAAGTCCGCAACGTTGACTGAAGTCCCCACTTTGTGCAGGGCAATCACCTGCTCGGCCACCAGCTGTTGGGACCACAACACACGTACACTCAGGTGTCGCACGCGGCCAACGCCGCTGCGCTCCGTGATTGCCTTCGCCGCGCTCGCGTCAAGAAAGTGGTGCACCTGTGGAGGATCGGCATCGGCAATGAAAGCGAGCAACTGCCGGACGAACAACGCGTCACACAGCGTTGAGGTGGCGGCCAAAAGTTCGGCTTCCCCGGAACTTAATGCTATCACCCTTGTGTGTCCGACTGCTACTATACAAGAGGCAGCCTCCTACGAACACCATTCCAGAGCTGACGGATTTGCGCGATCCTTTACTCGAGGCCCAGTTTGCGTCTGAAAACGATTCGAGGCATAGCATTCCCTGGCTTGTTGATGGGATCTCCTTTGACACTCCACCGCAACAGTGCTTTCGATCAAGAAGAAGGCCGTGGTGCTGCCCTTCAAGAAGATACTTCAAAAGCTGGCGCAGGGCAATTTGAGCATCGCGTGTAGGTGAAGTCATGTAACTGCTCAATGCACGAATGGCCCGTTGACACTCAATCAGGTCAACGGCTAAATAAAGAAGTATCCCAATGGCACATCGGAAGGCCTTTGCGTCTGCAGGTGGCAGCGGCTCACTGTTGTCGACCTCATCAAGCAGGGACGCGTAGGGCGTCTTCTTCGGAGCGCTTCGTTCATCAATCTTCATCACTGAAAACAGCTTCTCAAAATTCTTGGCAGAAGGGGTCAACAGCATCCTGCCCTCAGAAACCAATGTGTGATGCCTCTTCAAAAAGGAAATTGTGTCTCCAGGTTTCTCCAAAATGTGGACACTCACACGATACTTGGATTCAAGAGTGGGCCTGAGCCGTTCATTCAGAAACCGTTTGCTTCCTGCACCAAGCAAATCGTCCACATGCATCTGCGTGCTGAATTTGGAAGCGGGCTCACGGATCAAAGAAGGCAAGGCATCGCACTTCTTAAAGCCCAGGGCCTCATCAAGAAAAGTGGAAAATGCCAAGTACCACTCCTTAGACCCGTCACGCTGTCCTGGGAGGACGCGTCCCAGCACGTAGCTGACACCAGCATGTTGCACAATGACCAAGCGGGTCGGCGGGTCTGCTTGACGCTGACCGCTGAGATAAGCGTCGCTAATGTCAAGTGCGACCATGACCCAGGGATCGTCGGGATCAGGCTCGTGACACAAGAAGTGGATCGGCAGGAGGCGGTTCGACACAGCTGTGGAGGCAGGAGAGAAGAGGTCATGACGCTCGCTAAGCCAAGCATACTCGCGAGCAACGTATCTGCTGCGCCGGTACCAGAGCGGAGTATCACCGATCTGCTTTTCGCACCATGTGCGCACCATGCGCGTTGTGAGCTTGGTGGGCTCTTGACCTTCATACTCCTTGCTGTGAGCTGCTGCCTCAGGCAGCAAAACACTCATGCGTTCAAGCCTAGCAATCTCGACTCCATCAGCGATAACATCAAGGGCTTCCAGCTCTTCAGGCGAGAGTTCTGGCTCCAAGTCGGCGGTGCGAGGCCGGCAAAGCTCAGGAAGCAACTCGGAGTCACCGACCTGACCCTCGAACAATCCTTGATCATATTCCTCAAGATCATCTAAGGTGTCACCATCCAAGGTCAAGGTATGTCAAGGTAGCACTTTCATCTTCATGCTCATAGCGCAGGTGCCTGATGTGTGCCACGCAGGGGCACTCATCACCAGAAGTGAACAGCACCTCCTCAGGAGGAGAGCTGTCGAAACTGTGGCCCGAGGCGGTCACCAAAGAAATCTGCCCTTCAACGGCCATCACTTGATCATCACCACTGCACCACCAAACCTGCGTGCAACCTTGGCTGGTCTCGGATTCTCACTAAGGCCAACAGCCTCATGGGTCACCGGTGCTGCAGGCATTTCGGTCCCCGCCTCGGCTAAAGCGCTGGCAGCTGAGTCAGTCGACAGAGCATCTCCCTGATCACCAGGAGGATTAGCAACCTCAGCCGCACCGGAGGCAATGGAGGGACTGTAGTCCATAGAAGTGGCAGTGCACGCGGGCGATTCAGTGCCTGCAATCTGTGAAGGAGAGCCGGGAGCTTCAGGAACCAACGGCACAGCGCTATCGTCTGCACTCGGCTTCGGGCCGACGTAAGAGGGCACAGGCATAGCCATAGCAACAGGAGGGGCCGGTTTTTTGCACCCAAGGACCGGCTGGCCACCGATCGAAGATAGGCCATGCTCCCATGTGCACACATCAAAGCTTGCTGCAAGATCAGCATCAAAGTTGTCCTCAACCCGGCGCACGGAGCGCGTAACAAAGATGCCTCCGACCGTCCCAATGATGTGGGTGTCGCTCCCAACTGCTTTGCCCAGCCACAAACCGTGGCTTGTAGCGGTTTCGAAGCCAGCAAGAGTGGCATACCGACCATCCGTACAGAGGATGCTGAGGAGAGAAGAGGACCTGATCCTCGCTGGCACCGCAAGCCTTTTCATGGTCATGCATGAGGCAAGCTGCATGCACACGGACGCCGCCCACGACCTGCTCCACAGCACCGTTCGACTGATGCGATTCGATAGGGGAGTTGTCCTTAGAGGCATCGATGCCCAGGTTGCGTAAAGCTTTCAGCAAACAATTCTGCACAGAAACAATGGAGGGCTCATTGTCAGCAGAAATGCGTAAAGAGCGGTGGCCAAGCCAGATGACGAAGCGGGCTGCTTCGGTCACGAGGTGATTCAAACTGCTGCCACCCTTCTGAGCCGTGGGGATTGCATGCACAGCTTTGGTGTGGCGATCATGCATGAAAAGAACAGTCAAGCGATCTTTGGCGTTGGGCTCGCCGGTTGCATCTCGACAGCAGTACCCGAAGTCAAGAGACACCACAGTCCTGGAGCCAACATCATGCGGGGCCTCAGAAGGATGCTTGTCCTGGCGACCGCGAAAGCGAACACATGTATCGCACCAAGGAGCGTACGGCTCATGAGTGAGTTCATGCTTGGCTCGATCGGCAGCTGAAGGGGTCTGTGCAACAGGCGGTGCCAAAGGAGCCGGCTGGTCTCAGAACGCAAAGTGTGATCAACCTGATGCTCACGCCGCAGCTCAGCCTCACGGATATGGCGCACAAGCCTCTCCCAACACTGAGCTTTAGAACCATTCTTGCCCAACCCAAGGGAAACCAAAGCTGCACGCATGACCCTCAAAGAAGAGTTGCGGTCACCGCTCACAGTGACGCTTTCAACCGACTCACGGTCCTCTGGCCTAGACTCACCACCACCGTCAACCTCAGGAGCGATCGGCGCTGCTTGATCACTGGACTGTATAGGCTCATATGAAGCCAAGGCGCTCAGGGCTGAGAGACAGGTCATCGTAGGCAATGGTAATGACCTGTTCAACGTCTTGAGGCTCAAAGGGCGAGGCCCGATCACTGAGCGCAGAAATGTTAACAGCCAGTTCAAGAACGGTCCACTCTCCACTTCTCCGAACGAGAGTTGTTCCGTACCAAAGAAGCTCAAAGGAAGAAGCGTCGTGTCAACATAATTCTGCCCGAAGCTCAAGAGTGCGCAACACCGAGGGCCGATGCGAGGCGTTCAGCCTAGGCAAAGGGTCCTGAAGCGTGGTTCCAAGCACACGAACAGCAGGCAGCTGCTCGCTGAGCACTCGAACAACTCCTGTGGCGCAAAGCGACTGGCGTTTCAATCGCACAGGCTCCGAAATCTCTCCGTTGGTCAAGACAAAGCCCTCTGAACCATTAGGAGCAGGAATCACATAGAACCCAGCTTTGTAAAGCTTCCCAAGCGACAGCAAAGGACAGGTCAGGCCACCAATCAAGAACTTTTCTTTGAACCGACGGGACCCGTGGCCCGTGGCACTGATCAGCATGCCACACAGCATCAGCGCATGCGCGAAGCAACACATCCCCCAAAAGGCTCAAAAGCTCATACCCAAAGGCTAGGTCCCAAGCCGCACACCGGTGCTCCGTCGGATCACCAATGTCAAAGCAAACACTCTCGCGTCGCTCGAGAGCGAAAACCTGTTCCTGAAGAGCGACTTCTCTTTGGTGAAGACTGGGGCCCCGGTAAGAGCGTTAAGCACTGCGAGGGAACGGGCACGGGTCTTAGGGGCGTAAGTCTGCAGCAGTTGCCGCCAGATTTCCAGGCCGTTCCTGTTGGGGATCTGCTTAAGAAGGGTACGGGGCTTATGCTTAAGCAATCCATTGAGCACAGCGTAGAGCTTCTGGCTCTTGTCACGGATGTCATCACCCTCTCGCTCAAGAACCACAACGTGATCAATGTTTTCCTCGACAACCCTCAAAAGCCTTTCGTAATCCCCATCAGCAAAGATGAGCCAGGTGCTAAAGGAGTGGCTCCAGTCCTTCCAGCTTCCAAGGTCCGCCTCATGAGACAGAGTCCCGAAGTTGCTCGCTCGGTCGATTAAGCACCTTGTTTGCCTCGCTAAAGCTAGCATACTGCGTGCGATCACCCTTGCTCTGCTTGTTCAACACCATGTTAGAAAGCAGCTACGTGGTCGCAGCCAACTGCTCTAGCACTGCACCAGGATCCGGCTGCTGAGGCGAACGGGCAGGCGAAAACGGATTACCTGGCAGCTCAAGGCCTGCACTGGAGGCTGCTGCTGCAGCGGGCTGAAGCTCGGGTGCATCAAGGTCGTCGTCGTCATCAAGAGGCACAGCAGCCATGGCGCTTCTACCGTCCTCGCCCAGCGAGAGGACTGCGCCCTAAGGCCGAGAGGCTCCTGAACTTCACCGAAGACCTAAAAAGAAAGTAAAACGGTCAAAAGCCTGGGCCCTTCCAAAGAACCCCAAAAAGAAGACGTGTCTGTTGATCGTGATCGTTGTGCTACGTGTAGCTGGGGAGTAAAGGTTCGGCTCCCCGGAGACGCTTTTCGGCCAGACCCAAAGGAATGAACCGGTAAGCGCTCCGCTACCATGCTAATTTTCACTCAAACACAATCGCCTGCGGAGTACACAAAGTCAGCACATTGGGCTCAAACGAACTCGGGAGCTCACAAAGTAAAACAAATGTTCATGTAAATACCGGCCAGGAAAACAAATGGAAAACATGTGTACATACTGTACGAGTACAAGGTGTGCAAAGTTTTGCACCAGTTCCTCCATCGTCCTATGGCTCGGTGCACGCAAAACGGAGTCCAAGCTGGTTACAGAGCTGACACAGTTCAATTGCGAGCTTGATCAAGGACTTGGCTTCCTTGGCACGCTGTGTGTGTCTCTTCCACGAAGGCAGATCTCTGTCACGAAGATTGGATTCTAACCTAGTCCGAGGGAGGAAATGGCGGCTCGAACATACAATGTTGACAAGCCCCGGGCGGTCATGTAGAAGGTGACTGCGAACAGACTCTCGAGCACCGGGCTTCAGCAAAGCCGACTCCTAGCTCAACTTCGCAAACAGCACTGGCATTCGGATGGCAAATCGTGATGTGCATTGGGCTTGGGCTTTTGCATCTTCACGACCTGTCGAACTTGATTATGGCTAAGCTGCAATAACTCCGAATAATAAGCGAGATGCTTCTTTTTCTTCAGCTCTTCCACGCCATCCTGTGCTCCGGGGCCCAAGCACCGGTTGAGCTCAGACCACACGGATTCCCACCGACGTAGGCTGTTCATAAAAAGCCGCTTGGGAACCAAGCGTTGTTCGCTACCCGGCTTCGCCCTCATCCGAAGCGCCGGCTGGCAGCACTCTTCTCCTTCTTCCGCATCTCCTGAAAGCGCTTCCACTCCAGGAACTCCTGGTAGTCCGCTTCCTCTGGCTCCATCTCCCACTTGTCGTCCTTCTCGATCTTCTTCACACCTCGGCTCTTTGAAGGTAACGGTGGCGGTGGAGGACGGACCGGGCTTTCCAGCTCGATCTCGGTGAAGGATTCCGCCGCGGACATTTCCGTCAGAAAACCCGGAGTGGCGACTCCTCGCTACCGAAGACGTCCTTCTTCATGTGCTCGGGCACCACCCAGTTGGGATCTCGATACATCACCTTGCCCGTGTGCTTGTCCTTCTGGAAGAGCACCTTGAGGCAGCGCGGGCAGCGCTTTTGGATCTGGAACGCATTGCTCCCGACCCCGTTCGCCCCCACATGGGTGCACTGATTCGAGCTCGCATAGGAGGTCATCTTGATGCGGCTGTCCACGTTGGCCGGTCAAGACCTTGCCGGAGTTGCTGGAGGTGTCCGGCAGCTGTGGTCCTCCTTCCAGATCGGCTGGTCCTCGAGCCATTGGAAGAACGAGCACCTCGTCGTGGTGTTCCGGTACTTGGGGCATCGGAAGAATTGCCGTTGGAAGTTCGGCCCCTGCTTGTGGGTCTGTAACACCACCGTTTGCAGTCCGCAGTGACAACGTCCCTGTTGGAGCTGGCTGCTCCGCCTCCGCTCGGGCCCACGATCCGGAAGGAGTTGGCCACCGAAATCGGCATGCTGGTAGTAGTCCTTTGGGAGGCACGGTCGTCCTCCACATCCTTTACCATGTCGCGCTTGGACTTCACCTTCTCGATGTACTCCTGGACGGCTTCGAGTTCCAGGGTGCTCATCGAGTGAGCCATCCGGCACATCTCGTTCCTCATGAGGTCCCGGGGTTGCGGATCCCGGTCTTGAACATCAGCACCTGCTCCACCACGTGGTTCATCACCATGTAGAAGCGAAGCATCATCCGACGCCAGCGCCCGATCGGCGTGCGTCCGGGCTTGATCTCGTCCACACGGGTCCGCTTGGAAGCCGGGGTCTGCATGATGGGATGCTGAAGAGGTGAACAAAGACGGGTCGCGTCGTACCTTGCTCGAGAAATTGCTCGGGCCGACCACATCAGAAACATGATTAACCTCGTCACTGTGCTTCAACTTCTCCGGGAGATGAGACATGAACTGTTGCAGCCCGCGGATCATGCTGGGGTTGAACTCAGAAAGAGGAACCCTGAGCGCCCCTGTCGGTCCGATATGCAATTGGACTGTATGTCGAAGCCTAGCAAGGTACACCTGGAGTCGTTTCTCGGGGTCCAAGGTCAAAACAGCTCGACAGTAAAGAAGAAAAGGAAGCGAAAGAAGGAAAGGGGCGGTCTGACTCAAGCCATCCTCGAACAGACGCACCCCTTGGGGCCCAAACTGGTAGGAACGAAGGCCACCTGATTCGTGCATGTGATGCCGTTCACTGCATCGCTGCATGGGACTTCGTCGTTTGCTTGCCCTGGACCTTCCAGTCCAAGTTGGCTTCATGGACCCTGACCCATTCCTTGACGGCTTTGGAAGTGAGCTTGCGCTGCGTATAGTTCAACAACAATTTCACTTCGTCACTAAGCTGCAAGGACATCACCAGGAGAAACCCGAGCTACTCACGGGGCAAAGTCACGCTGTGTTCTCCGAGGCGCCGGATTTCATTGTCCCAGCGAGAGAAAAACAACTTATGACTCTCACCCTGAGCCCTCCTAAGGGTATATGTAACTTTCACAAGTGTATTCAGCATGTCCTCCCGAGCATCTTCACCGTACAGCTCCTTCGTGTCCATCTTGGAGAGCAGCAGCTCGCCGTTGTTGTCGTCTCCCATCCATGGCCAGATGCTTCAGATCGTCGAACGGTGTCCCCGTGAGACTCTTCAGCAACATAGGGCCTCGGGCCTTGGCTCGAACTTTCGTCGTCGCCAGCCAGAACTTGGCCCGGATGTGATAGTCTCGGAAGCTGCTCTGCCCATCCCAGCTCGTCGGAAATCCTGCTCCAGCACCCTTGCCGTCGTCCTCGCGGTCGTCAGTGTCCTCTGATCCCCGTCTCGCCCTCCAGGACCGGGAGGCTCCTCGACTGTGCATAGTCCCGGAAGCGCTGGAACTCCTAGGCGTCCGGTGGACGGTTCGTCCTGGCTCCACCTAAAACGTTGGCCCATGGATCCAGGTCGTCGTCATCATCGGCGGTCGCTCCACTCGTCTCCCTGCGCTCCGGCAGGGTTGGGCTCTCCACCCATAGATCCGTGATCAGGCACTGGAGAATCTGCAGCCGGATTGGCACTTGCCATAGCAAAACGCTTCAGAGCTAACACTCAGCCTCAGAACCCGTTCTAAAGGCCTAGGAGCGTACTAGAGCTCCGCTACCACTGTCGCACTTAGCGACAGTGGTCCCCTCTGCAGACGGCTGGCCTTTTTCCGTTGGCCGCCTTGAGCCACAATCAGTGGGCAGGTCGTCGCTCGTAATCCTGAAGGCTGACAGGTTGTTTCGGAACGGGCAAAACAGAAAGACACTGGAGCCGCAAGGAGGCTTGTTGCAAGGAAGCGGCCTGGAGAGGTTGCCTATGTCGGGGGTGTCCGGGTTCTTTTGACTTTCCTGCGACGGACTTTAGGCAAGCCACAAGTGAAATATTTCAAGGGTACGAGACGAGACGGAGGTAACGAATACATTACCCGTAAAAGCGAACCCTTCATGCGGGTGAGTTAGGCACTGAAGTGTGCAGTCACACGTCGAACACCAGAAGCCAGTCTCCGAGGACGCCGCAACGGCGACGTGTGGAGTACGACTACGTGGAGTCAGCAGAACACCTGGGGTCGAGATGATGATGGAGCCGCCCCAGAGGCGGAGCATCCTGAAGAGGAGGCAGATGGTGAAACTACGACCTCGAGAACTTCGTGGTGGCAGGCCGCACCTTCGAACCGGAGGTTGGCATTGGCAGTCCCAGAGGAGATGGGATTGGAACTCCGGCAGCTAGTGGGGTAGCAGCTATTCCTCCAATGGCAGTGCCCCCTCGACATGGAGTGCTTTCGAAGCGGTGGAGGATGAGACGATCTTGCCAATTTCATACAGGGCTGGTACCTGTTGGCTGATGCCGCACTGGACACCGCAACATCATCGCCACGAGGTGAATGGCGACTACTCCCCCGCTCGCGTAGTACAGGAACTCCGAAACCAGTTTCCGGAAAACCACCTGAGTTGAAAGGATCAAGGACGGCGATCCCACGCTTTTGCGAGCATGGACGACCTTTACGAGACGGAAAACTTTGACGAGCCCGCCAATTACATGGACGACGACTACAACGACGAGGACCAGGCGATGCTCACCGCCGCCGAAGAGGAGGCGCAACAGGCCATGGCAACCATGGACCGGCTCGGCGATACTCTCAAGGACATCCAAATGCGGCAACACTCCGTCCAGATGAGCCGGCAGTACTACCGCGCGAGCTACCAGGCAAATCCCCGAAGCTCCGGAGGCCAAGGACGGACGTCGAGCACGAGTACCAGTGGCAACTGCAACCCCGGCCAGTCGAGCGCCGCTAACATGATTTGCTTAGGTTGAGGAGTCGAAGGACATAGGATAGCCAACTGCCCTTCGCCGAAGAAGAGGGAAGCCATGCAGACGCATTTGCCCGATGGGAGCAAGACACAGCAGGCACCATTTGTCTGCTACGTTCATGGTCAAGCGGAAGGTGAGAGTGCTCTCACCACTTTTCCATCCACCGCAGAGGCGGTCGAGGAGGGCTTTGCCATGATCGACGGAAGCGCCACCAAGACGCTCGGCATGCGTGCTGCGTGCGGTGGAAGCATTGCTTCGGTGCAATCAAAAACAACACGGAGATGCCAGACTGGCAGAACGGGACAAGGGCAACCAACCCTTGTTTGGCTTCGGGAACAGCACCGAAAGACGCTGCGTCAGCACCTGCAAAGTGGGGGTCACAGCCGGTGGCCAAAGTGGACAGGCGGAGATACACACTTTGAACCAAGGTGTTGGCTCGAACCTCTTCAGCATCGATGCCATGCGGACTTCGGGAGCGATAGTGGGCTTTCGCTCGGGCCTCCTCGTGCTGACCGCCATCAACGGCAGGAGGATCATCCCGCTGCGCATGTCCTCGACAAGTCATCAGTTGATATCGCTGGCACAAGAGTCATAAGACCCTTTTCGATGCGAAGGAGCGGGTGCCCAGTTTGAGCAGTTTTGTTTCATAAGCTCCCTAGGGACAACTCCTTTCTGATCTCGATCCTGACGGGTAAAGAGATTTCCAATGTAGGGTAGGCAGCTAGGCAGGAAACTTCTGAACAACAGAGTGATTGTAAACAGAGTAAGCGTGTTCGTATTGACATGACATCGGCGGTGAGAGCAGATGCTGCAGAGTCAGCTGAGCCGTTGGACGCAGTTTCTGTGAATGACTCAGAATGCACCCGTGCTGAATGTGAAGCTGTTCGTCCTGCAGGCCGTTTGCCAGGCTCAGAAGCTCAAGCTTGTGATCAGGTTGCTCCCTCGACTTCACCTCATGGATCGCCTGAGCCGTCCCAAGCTCGTGTTGCACCTGAAGGGCCTCGGCAAGGAGACCCCGGAGGCCTGGTCAAAACTCGAGATCCGCCAGCTCATCCACGAACGCGTGGAGGATCAGCCGACACTGGCTGCAACGGTGGCCCACAAAACTCCTCTCGAGATCCAGATCAATACATACATTCTTCTGTTTCTTCTGTTTCGGGCGAAGAGTCGTAGCGACGCGGCCCTTTGGCTTGCATCTAATTAAAGTTTGTGGGCAACCCAAGGGTGTCTGCATGCACTAGCACGAGCTCGTGCTGAGCAGTAATCAGATCTACCCCAGGAGCGAGCGCGGAGCCTAACCCGGCAGCCCGTATCTCCGGCGCTCAAGCAAAATCAACTGTAAGGCTGTAAGGCACTGGACACCACATGCGAGACGTAGAGGATGATGCTTGGTATTCCGTACTTGGCAATCCAAGCAACGATCCTGATTTCGGACCTAAGATGCGGGATCTTCCTCATGGGTATCAGATGAGGCAATCTCCGCAAAGTAACCGTATACCCAGGATGTCAAAACACCTTCATCGAGGTGATATCGGGGCATCGGCGCAACTGCGATAAAAGGCTATGCAACTGAAACATGTTGCAGCTAAAGAATCCTCAGCCACAGCCTATTCCTCCAGGGTATGGGAAGGCAAACTGCAAGCTGTACATCCACAGCTGTCATTCAAACGCAGCTGTGCCCATCCAACACTTGAACCCTGAGCTTATTCCTCCAGGGAACAGGGGAGGCCAACTACCGGGTAGGTCCCTCACAATGGAAAATTAAACATCACTGTGCCCTCTCAGACGTGCCGCTGCATACAGTGACCGCGTATATACACACCAACACGTGTGAGGTCCGAGTCTAACGAAAGCGAAGCGCCCAACAAACCCGTCGACATGCCGCAAAACTCCAGGACCTGGTCTACCGGGCTGCGGGGCCAGATGTCAAGGCGCTCGCCTATCGTATAAGCAACGTTACTGCCTTCAAGCTTGAACTCATATTGCCGCATGTCACGATCGTACTTACCATCGCCAGGGGTCGATTCCTTAGGGAGGTTGTCATCTGAAAGAGTACGGCCGCCCTCAAACTGCTTGCCAGCAAATATCATGTGCCGCTGGTCGGGCGGGATGCCTGCCTTGTCTTGGGACTTAGCCTTGACGTTGTCGAACTTGTCACTGGCCTCAACGTCCAAGGTGAGCTTCAAGGTCTTGACAAAGATCTGCATGCCGCCTCGCATGTGCTGCGCCAAGTCAGGGGTCGATTCAATCTGGAGGTTGTAATCCGAAAGAATACGCCCGCCCTCAAATTGCTTGCCAGCAAAGATCAGGTGCTGCTCGCCCTCAACATCCAAGATGAACATCAGGGTCTTGACAAAGATCTGGATGCCGCGAGGGGTCGATTCCTTCTGGAGGTTGTCATCCGAAAGAGTACGGCCGCCCTCAAACTGCTTGCCAGCAAATATCACGTGTCGCTGGTCGGGCGGGATGCCTGCCTTATCTTGGGACTTAGCCTTGACGTTGTCGAACTTGTCACTGGCCTCAACTTCCAAGGTGAGCTTCAAGGTCTTGACAAAGATCTGCATGCCGCCTCGCAAGTGCGGCGCCAGGTGAAGGCGTGCCCTCCTTGGGCACTGGGGCTAACGATCCGCGCTGCCGCGGCCATTCGAGCCCTCAATACATACATACATACATACGTACTTACTTGCACGTTTCCTACTGTATCCTTCAGCAAGCACAGCCTCAAGCAACGCTGCGCGAGTATGTCGACGAGACCTTGGGTGTGGCAGTATCCGACACGGACACCATTGCGGCCATGCAGCGCCAAGCCAGCGACAAGATTCTCCAGGAGTGCCAGGTGCATGGCGCCGATCCAGCTCAGCTTTCAGGACACCTTCTGCCCCGTCCCAAAACACGCGGACACAAGACGAATACATCGGGAACGGCAGCTAGCAGCAGCACTCCGAAGGCCCCGGCGACAGACTCTCGGGACGACCTCGTCTTGCAGCTGACGACTGCTCCTCAGGATCTGAGGAAGTAGATCAGCTGCGCGCCGAATGCCCTTGCAAGGTGACCTCGAGCGCGGACAAGTAGACGATCCGTGAGGCGATCGTGCTCTCATTTGACCTCTGTGTGGTCTTGTACAAGGCTAGTTCCACCTTTTTCATAGGTTCTTTCAGCTCAGCAGATTCCTCCCAAGTTGAAAGTGCTTTCAACAAAGCGTCCACTCCTGTCTCTGGGTCTGTGAGCTGCTTCGGGTCCAGGTTCTTGACTTGGGCCCACGCTGCTCCCTTGCAGAGCATGGCAAGCCGAGGGGCCAGCATGCCTCGGTCCTTTCCAAAGCAGATCTCTTTCAAGAAGCGCACCTTGTCGACGTATTCCTTGATGGTGTCTGTCGCAGGATCAAAGGACGGCAGCAAACTCCAAACGGCATTGGACTTCCCATGTCTCGCTGCGAAGCTGACATCCACGAAAAATGCAAGGATGAACAAAGACCCTCGGATCTCAACTCCTCTGGAGCACCCCGGCTCGGGCTACCAGTTTTGAAGCCATCAAAGCATCTGAAAGAGTGAATGTGATACCTTTGCTGAAAGCTTTTAATCAAAATGCTTTCTGAATCGCAATCACACTCAAGCAAGTTCAACTGTTGATATCCTAGCAGTTCGTGAAAGGCTTGTGGCAGTCAGCTCTTTGACTTGTTTTCTAAAGCTGCTGCAGCTGTAGATGTCAAAAACCGGCAATGTTCATCTGCGTCAGCGCACTCTGGCTGATGTCCTACGTCAATCGGTTGAGCGTAGGCGTGGCTTTTGACGAGATCTCCAAGATGACCATGGGGGAAATCAAGGCCTTTGTTCTGCTTCGTCAGAGCCAGCTTCAGGCTGAAGACAAATGCAAAGTCATTACGATGACCGATGGAGCGAAGATTGAGCAAGCCATGCGATCACCCAACACCTCCATCATTTCGGGAGTTGAAAGCAAGAAGAAGATCTATCCAGTGAACATTGCACAGAAGGAAGAGACTGAGCCGGCTCAAGGTACTGAGGAGGCCTTCGTCTTCACAGAGGCCGAGGAAATCTTGGTCTTCGACGCCTTCCTGAGCGAGGGTGATAAGGACATTCTGCTGGTTCAACAGTACAGATGCTCTGCTTGAAACGTTGCAGGGTGATGCCGAAGTGTCTGCCTGCTTCAACACGTACTTGGAAGGCCGCAGGCGGCTTTCTGAGAGGGACGCGGCAAGGGCAAGAAAGGCTTCGGAGGCAAGGGTCGAGAGCCCTTGGCCCAACACATCTTGGAGTCCGAGTGCCGTCGATGCGGCAGAGTGCCCCTTGAGATTCCAAAGCAGTTCATCGACCCGGGACACACGGCATCTGCAAATCTGGCCACCGCTGCGCCAGAGAGCAGCGCGTGGCAGGATGTGCTGTTCGGGATGCCTGCTGATGTGACGTCTTTGCAGGCCAACTCCAACACCGTGCATGTCTTTTGCGCCGAGGGGTTGGTTTACGATTTCAGTTCTGGTTTTGTAGGTGTGTGCGCGGCTTGTTCGAAGACGGTTCAAGCGCTCGGAAAGATCCCTGCCAGGAGCCAAGGACCTGAGCAGGTGAGCCATTCCCTGAGCCCAGCCAAGTTCGTAGCTCTCCAGCCTGAGTTGGATCAGGCTTTCTTCGTCAGTCATGGCTCTCTGGGGGTCGTCGACTCGGGAGCGTCGCAAAATGCCATGGGAGCTACTCCGCTTCCGGAGTTCTTCGCTGAGATCCCCTCTGAGGTTCGTAGGAAAGTCCCTATAACATCACGTTTAAGTTCGGCAACAGCGCGACGTCCACTTGCCAGAGAGCCATTTACGACCCTTTCGGGCTTGCGTGGGTAAAAAAAGCCATTGTAGAAGGCCCGACGCCGTTGTTATTGTCAAACACCTTTCTGAAGTCTTTGGGGGCTGTAATGGATTCAGAATCAGGACTGATGTTCTCTCGCAAGCTGCAGTGCTTAGTGACCACCACGCTGTCCGAGCGCAAGCTCTTGCTGCTTGATTTTAATCAGTTGCTCCAGGCCTCACGCTCGCCTAGAGCTTTAGGCTCTCACATGTCACAACAGGCGCAAAGCTTATGCCAGGATCTTGTGCAAACCTGTGCTGCTGCCGGCTATGTGAGTGCTCCTGATCCTGAGGTTCCGAAACACGTAGTCTCCCGAGTGGGGCCCAAGCCCACTCAGCACCTTCCGTTGACATGTCCCGTGCCGAGTCTTGCGTGAAGCCCGAAGTCCGAGACCAGCGCCAGCAGCATGACACCCGCTGCACGCTGGAAGACCCTGCGCAATGCCAAGAGTTTCCGGATTGGGTGTCTTGGTTCCTGAGCCATTACCAGGAGCAGTCCCAGTATGCGTTGGATATTGACATTGAAATGGAAGGTTCGCGATGATGGGAGCCGAAAAGCGACGGCAAGGGCGGTTCTGCTGGGGTATTAAGACCCCAGCTACGAACATCGAAGCACCACAACTCCTGTTATGTCTCGTCAGTCTCCCGCGTATCTATAGGGGATTCAAAAGATCGGAGTCAGCTCCTCCGAGAGGACCTTGCTGAGGGCGCTGCTGGGTGGGCTATGCTGGCATGCCCAGCAGATAGCACCGCATCTGAGAGCAGATGTAAACCTTCTGTTGCCTGAGGTTGAATCCAACACCGTTGCGACAATCATTCGCTCAAACATCCTGCTCGCTCATGCCAAGGCACGGGCGGGACACAAGATGCTCATCCACTCCTACCCGACCGAGCCGAATTGGAGTTGGTTGCCTGGGTCGATGCGGCTTCTCAGAACCGCGTCGATGGGGGCAGCACGCAAGGCATCATGGTGGGAGCAGCACCCATGGCCAACCAGAGTCGAGAAGTTTGTGCAGTATCGTTGATGTCATGGCTTGCCTCAAAGATAGAGCTACTACATGGCGAAGTGGATCTGCGACAACCTGACCGCACCGTGCAGAAAGTACCAGACCGACAGCCGGAATGTGTGTAACAAGATGCACAGCGAGGTCCTGGTGATCAAAGGGGCAGAGAAGGCGACCAGGTATTGAATTACTGGGACCCAAGGCAGCGCAGTCACGGACCCAAGTGGCCATCCGCTGGGTGCATTCAGAGGCCCAGTTGGCCACCAGTTTGGCGAAGCAAGGGGGACATCACGAGTTAGATGTTCTACAAGATGGGATTTCGATGGAGCATTGTAAAAGATGAACAGATGATGTCAAGACGACGACATCGGGAGAACAATCTCCAACCGCTCGCTCAAACCACCGGTGTGATGAAATCCAGCCCCAAAGAAGCTTCCAGCTGATGAGCCTTGATGGGGAACCCGGGCACGCAAGTTTCACTTATCTGTCTCTCACGCAGGCAGTGTTGCTTTTCGACAGTCGGGTGACGGAGCTACGAAGGATCAAAAGCGCTGGGCCCAGCAGATCCGCAGGTTGTCTTAGGAGCCGCACTGCCTCCCATTTAGCACTGCCATCCTGCTGCCGCATAGTACTCCGCATAGTCATCCTCTACAAGCTCGGGCTAACAGGCTGCCGCAAAGCTACCGCTCGCACTGCCTGTGCCTGAGATTTCCCTCTAACTTTGTTGCAGTCTACGGAGGCTGTGTCTTGCTCTTGGCTGTCGGTTCGGGGTGCTGTGAGCCCTGCAAGCTGCTTGGCTCTGTGAGGTTCAAAAAGCTGGGTAACCATCTCTTCAAACTCATCGACAAAGTTGCATACAAAGGAAGACTGTATTACATGCAGCATGTTCGCTGTGAATGCTTGATGAAATCTTTCTGTTCTCCTTTAATCTACGAAACATGCAGCAGGCACAGAAAGCCTCGTGCGGCTAGCATACCCGCGCGGACAGCAAAGCCCTTGCCACCTGGCAGAGTTCGGATGCTTTGGGTGCAAATCTCTGCGAAGGAAGGCTTCTTCAAATTTCGTTGGAGGTCAGCAAACGCATGGAAGGCCGGCGGTTGGCGAGCAGCTGTATTATCTTCACTTCACCATGACGAAGCGAAGCTGCCCTGCATTCAGTCGGCACACTCAGAACGAAGTAGGTAATGAAGACGAATATCTGAGTCTTGCCCTTGACTGTCGTGACGAAGTCTTGGGGAACGGCGTGCTTGCAGACAGAGCTGCAGCGTAAGTGTTGTCACTGCTGCCATCATCCACCACGATGATCTGGAAGGCTTGGCAGGCAGAAGTATGGACGATGATTAAGCCAGCACGAAGACCTACAAGCAATGCTCCGGAAACTGCGACACGGACTCATGGGCAGCAGCAAATACCGCAACTCCACCGAAACGAAGTCAATCTGAACCGAACTGTTTGCCTGGTTCAGCCCTTCAAGTGATACGTTGATCAAGAGCCCAAGCTTCAGCAGGCGTCCGCCCACCTGTTCCAAGCCTTTCTCTCGACGAGGAGATAAACTGCTCGGCTACCGCCCACTGATACTTGACTTTGGTATGGGTGTACAAGTCTCTTACGAGGCACAGAAAGAAATAGGTGTGTGGGTTGTAGAGTTGTGCCGCCATGTGCGAAACAAGTGGAAGCTTCCGCAGCGGCCTCATAAGAGAAGGAAGACGATGCACCGCGCCCCTCTAGATAGGTCAGCGTCTCGTCCAGCATCTGCGGCACCCGGTACTCCTGTCGGAGATCCGAGCAAGAGTCCAAAACGTGTGCCTCCTGTATTTCTGAAGCGCGTCGCTACCAGCTGCTATCGGCCCAAGCGGCAGGCCGACTCTCTCTGGCGATTCAGCTGGCACTGCCGGGCTATTTCTCGAAGGGGCTTGCATCAAAGCATCCGATGCTCCTCGTTGTAGGCGGGCACGATCACAGACAAAGTCACCTCTGGCGCCTGGCTGGGCCACGCAAGTGCGCCCCTGGGCCATGGAAGAAAAATTCGGTACTGTAATACAGTCAATACTCAGTAGCCCTTTCACAAAAGCAGCGGGGGTTGTGGTTGCGGAGGCCTTCCAAGCTGGTGGGATGAGCTCGCCAGGGACGCATTGGAAGGAAGTCCTCCGTTGTCGGATGCTCCGTTCTCGGTGCTCCACGCATGATGCAGCCTCTGACATCCCTCATCCATGCCTTTATCATGAAATCGAAATCTTCTACTCACCACCAGTGACCCCTGCAAGTACGCCTTGAGACTTGAGACTCGAGGGACTTATCGCAACTGGCCCTCCAGTCGAAGTACCTGGCAGCGGCGGTGGGGCACTGCAGTGACGGAACGCGCTTGGGCTTGGGATGATGGGGTTAGATTCTGAAAGCAGACAGCGGGGCACGGCTTGAGCAAGAAGATGACAGCAGCTGCTGCCACCAGCAGGAACAGCCCAAGAGACAGAAGGACTTCCATGGCCTCGGATTTCCGAAGATGCCCTGACTGCCTGAGACCCTTCTGCTGATCCGGAGCATCAGAGTAATAACATCAGAGTGGTCATTTCGCAAAGTCAAGACCTCGCACCACTAGAAATGCACCATGCTCGCGTTCGGGCTTCGGCATGGAAGCAAACTGCTTGGCTTGTGTGGAAACGCGTTTCGATGCATCACTCTCATGTCTCTCGCGATGACATGCAACATATCATATAGTCCTCGACGAATCCTGCCAAGCTTGAAGTGAAAGTGAAGACATGATGCTTCTCATCCGCTACTTGTACCTCATGGATGGTGGGTTACACACTCTGGCGCTTTCAATTCTTCCGGTGCGTTGGCCTTACATCTTTTCCGGCCTGAACCCTGGGAGCGACGGTCCGGCCGCCCCGGCCCTTCACCCCCCTCTTCCGCCCTTGAGCCATGGAAAGCAGAGTTCCTAGCAAGGCCCAGCTCAAACGCACCCATGCAGTCCCCGGGTTCGCCGACGGCCACTGTGTCTCATGCACAAGGCAAAGGGCATCATGCCCCTGGCGTGCCTGCTGCAGACACGGAACCTGTGACCTTCTGTACATCATAGAGTCCTTGGCCAGTGTGAAGGACGATCTTCGAAACTATGCCAGGCTGCTAGGGAATCGTGCTCTTCAAAATCCACAGCTTCAAGTTGAGTTTTGCCACTGAGTCTCCCGAATCACAGCGTCACAGGTTCCAACAGTCTGCAGGTCTATCTGTTTCAAAGGCGACCGACCGTCAACCACGTGTAAAATGTCGTGGTCGGCAACTTGGCAGAAACAGCAACCTTCTTTGATGATCGGATTTGAATCCTTAGGCGACGTGCGTCGCAACACGTGCCAAGCAGAACAGCCGCACGAGGGGGCAGGTCCAGGTAAATGCTTGCGGCACCCTGTTGAGCCTGCAAGTCCAGTTTCTTCCCTTCGGGAAGAAGACCAGGCGCATACATGCTGCGGAGATCATGCAGTGACTGAATGCAGTGTTTGGAAGTGAGCGTTTCATGGTCTCTGCTAGGGTCCCTAAGATTCTGAAACTCCGAAAAATAGCAAAGGAGGACGGCTATCGGCGCAGAGCTCAGTGGAGGCCTGCGTACATGGCCTCAGCGCGAGAGCCCCCGAATGCAGCCTTTTGGGATGCATCCAAGCAGTGAGATCAAAGCCTCGGCCACTTCTGCAGGTGTCGGGTTGGCCATGCCATAGGAGTAGGTGATAAACCTCAGACGATACGTGCACCGGAAGGTGCTAAGGTCTGTCATTTGCTGAGAAAGCTGGTGTTGAGAGAGGAGCTTGTGCAGGGAAACATTGACACGCACTTAGAAGCAGTGCATTAAAGTGCGCACATGTACCTCACCACCCATGCAATTGTATCTACATATCCGAGGGCTCGAACCACCTCTTCGTCATCTCCTTCGAGGAGCATGGCATGTTGACCTGACCAGCAGGAAGGCGAAAGTCCGCCCAGTCAGCAAGCGGGAATGACAGATGGAGTGGTTGACATGCCTGGTTTACCACGATATCGAAGGACTTGAAGCATAGCCCGCGGTTAGCATCTCCCTTGGTGAGATCGAACCTGAGGCTCCAAATTCCGCATATCGGCCCAGCTCTAAGGCGTCAAGAGGCCGAGAAGCACGGTGGGCATGTTGCTCTGGCGCTCGATCTCTTCGTCGTAACGGACATCGGCCTCTGAAGTCTTTGTATCTTCCAAGATCTTCTAACCGAACTTCCACCTTCCAAAGGACCTTCCGAACTTTGTCTTCTGAAAAAATAAGAAACTGCAGCATCAGCACCTTCGTGCATCTTTTTGCCGACTTCCCCAGGCGCCTGTGCAGCCAGGTGCGCCTGCCCGGCCTGCGAGGGACGGCTCCCGGGACCGAAAGTGAAGTCCTCGAGACAATTGCATGGGAAAAAGGGCTTCTACGTTGGCACGTGATGCGCCCAGACAATGGCACAGCTTTCTATCTGCTGTGCACAGCTAGGTTCTCCATCTCTCCTGCAGAAATCGCCTCAGCCCGGCATTCGACATCAAGGGCCGACCCTTCTTGTCGCGGGAAGTGCTGTACTGGGAAAACAGCTCCTGGACAGATGAGAGTAAGATAAATTGACCGGAAGAAGAGAAGTCTGTAGTCTCCTGGAGGAATTCGGAAAGGTCGTTGTCTGTTACAGCGGACTCAGGCTCTGAGTCCGACTCCTCCTGAAAGCTAAAGCTGCTAAAGCTGCGAGATGACGAATTTGGCCGAGGCCAGGGAGGTCCTTCCGACTCTTTCGAAGGCGCCTTGGCCTAGACTCGTCAGCTTCTCCCTCTGCCTCCACTCTGCACTGCTATGCACTGCTCCTACTGGTAGCAGGATTGAAGTCTTGGAATACACGGAGGAGTCAACCCGTGCATGCCTCCTCGCTATTTCCGGGCACTCTCACTGAGGCTGTTCCTTTGCTGTGTCGTCTCGAGCTGCGCCGCCTGCCCTTGCCTAGCAGAGCAGGATTTGTCGTCACCAGTTTGCCGCTGGCACATCAGGGCCTGAACTGGCAGCCGTGTTCCTTGCACCAGCACCGGACGTGGCCTCGTTGCCTCGTTCCTATCAGCCAACAAGTTCTGGCTAAACTAATGGATGGCAATCTCGCCTCGAGCTTCTCTGTCTTGGGCCTCCTGGAGGAAGTCTTCGATCTTTTGCGCGATCTATCTGGAGCCCGCTGCACGGGGGTCGGGGTATCCTCGCTTTCGGAGTTGTCGGCAATTTCCTCTTTGGTTGAATCCAGAGCCGCAGAGTCTACGGACTCGGCAGAGGGCAGCTCTGGCGGCTCTGGCGGCTCTGGCGGCTCTACCCTCTCCGAGGAGGGCGGTCCTCGGCACGAACCGGACACGGCCGTGCCGTCCCCATTTATTGCCGAACTTTTCGAGGTAATAGGCGTGCCCCACATAGGGGGCCGGTGCCGCTCACCGGATCTCCTTAGCTCCCGCTTAGGCCTTCCCAGTTCTGAAAGCACTGTGTGTGCCTCAGCTCTCAGGCTTTGGCCTCTCCACTTGCGCATCTGAGAACTCTTCTCTCTGCACAGCATCGTGAAGCCAACCACCATCAAAGGTGTCAACGGAGTCTTCAGCTTGCCCCCCTGCGCAGGGAACCAAGGAAACGCTTGAGAACAACTCGGCCGCCTGCCTTGTTGCTTCGTGCTCAATGCCTTTCTCCAGGGTTCGCCCTCTTTGCCTTCACCTTCCACAAGGGCAACGTGCCATGCTGTGCAACAAAGACCAGCCCGTGAGTTCGGCCAGTCTGTTCAAGCCTATTATCATCAACCTGTTCATTACGACCTAAGGCCGCATCGGCGCATAAGAGTTCGCCTCCTCCTCCGGTCACATCAGGCATGGGCAGTAGATCCATAAGATCCCGCTCCTCACCAGGCTCTTGCTTGCGAGCAAAGCTCAGCCTTTGTGCTCGAGCAGCTTGTGCAGCGGCAGCGGTCTCTGAATCGGCATCTTGCTTTCCGGTGCCAGTCTTTGATCTCTGTGAGACCTGGCGTCGCATGGGCGCAATCTGGCCCTCAAGTTCGTTGCAGTCTGCCATCGTCATGGGATGCCTCGGAGCAAGCAACAGCCCACAACAGGCCCTGTTTCTGCGTGAGGCCGGCACCTCGCCGACTCCTTGGGGGCTTCCTCCTCCTGCCGATCGCCTTGTGCCATGGCAGCGCAATCTGCCGTCGTCATGGGGTGCCTCGGAGCAAGCAAACACCCCACAACAGGCCATGTTTTTGCCTGACACCGACACCTCGCCGACTCATTGGGGTCTTCTCCCTCCTGCCGATCGCCCGGTGCTGTGGTAGCCTCTGCATGCCTGCCATCAGCCCAGAAAGGTGGCATTGAGGCCTTTTGTGGGCCAAAGCTTGATGGGTGGATGCCTCGTGCCGCTCTTTCTTGGAGCGGTGGTGACGGAAGTGCAGCTTGGATCGCTCTCTTCGAACTTTCGCAGGGTGGAGTTCAAGGACTTTCGGATCACCTGCCATGAAGATCTGAGATCATGATCATCAGACTGCTGCTCAGGTTCCCAAAGCAAAGCTCGCTCCTCGCTAGCCGGTGACGGCACGGTTCCTGGTAGCGAGCTTCTCCGTTCGAGGCCTGTCCCGACCCCCCATGGTCCCCATGAGCCGATCCATGGAGCACTGACCGTGATGAGTGTCTGCCTGCGGCCTTGCAGACACCCGGCCTTGCCGTGGGAGGTCATCGAAGCAGCTTTCCTTCGCGCACTCGCTATTCCGGCGACCAGGTCTGCCTGCCGCAGCAGCAGCTTCAACCGAAGCTCTCTTCACATCGCTTTTCCTCTGCTGCCGATCTGGCCTGTAGACCCAGTTCCGGCAGCTCCTGCCGCGTCCTGCCTGGAAAATGTCGAGTCGGATTCACGGGACAACTTTGGGATGAACAGATTTTACGTCCTGGAGTCGTTCCGGCCGTGCGGTGGGCGCAGCTCTTGCCCGTCCCGAGGCATGGACTGGCTTCCTGGCACATGGCCTTATTGAGAGCTGGCGTTGTCCTTCTTAAAGCCGGTGCCATGGTACAGTATGCCACGAAACTCTGGATTGCGTTCTCGCGGGCAGGCCTTCCAGCTCGATGTCGAGCACTCCTGGGCGAGGTATAACCCGTTCACGGTGCCAAAGAGTGCCTGTGCTGCGGTGCTGCCTCCAGCCGCTGCAGCCCGCTCCAATGAGAGGCGACCTGGCGAAGCTTTTTTTCTTTTCCTTTGCAGTTCTTCCGTCTTCGGCGCCATGGGCCTCCTGGCTCTGTGCGCACGTGTGAGGGGCGTGAGGGGTGCGGTGATTGCGGTGGGCCCAGAGCGTTCTGGGCCACTGCCGCAAAGGCCTGGCAGATGCTTGGAACGTCTCGCAATTATTCGTATGAGGCTTGCCGGTCCCTTCAGCCGAAGGCTATCACATCACTGAAAACGGCTGCATGTCTAAGAACAGGGCATCGCGCGGGTGCGAGGGCCGTCTGCGCAGCTCTGAGTGCACCTGACGCAGAGAAGTCTGGGCGCTGAGACCATGGCTGACATGGCCACCAGTGGCCCAGTGGCCTGTGGCTTCCTGGGAGTTCTCGCAGTGAGGACGGCCGTCCGTTTTAGTTGGCCCGTGCCTGAGGAGTGTCAGCTGCACCAACGTCCTTTCGGCTTGGCAAAAATCCATCTACGGCCCATGCGACCCACGATTCCGAGGGAACCTGCCGCACTCCAGATCATCGGATCGAATGATGGCATCAGATCTGTCCCGCCCACTGCTCTTACATCCTGGGAACTTTGTGCAGATGTTGCGTCTGACAAGTCAGCGAGCAGTCATTCTACGAAGCAATCACGTCACATCAGTACGCGGCCCTGCCACAAAATCCACCATAAGAGCAACCACCCGACGAAAAACCGCAAATTTCACAACTCTTCCGGAAGCTTGGATTCGGCCTTCCAGTTCCACCTCCGGCCGCGAGGCAGGCAACGCACGGCTACCAGGCCTGGCTGCTTACGCTCCGAGACGCCATTGCACAGCGACTATCTTTAGAAGAATCTTAGCCAGCCAGACGATGGGTTTACTCAGATGATTAAAACATCATTTCATTTCATCAGTTTCATCAGCGAATCATCCTCAAAATCATCTTCGAATCATCCTCTGCCCCAACAATCATCATCTTATTATCATCGGGCTCCCAAGCGCCGAAATCACACACGAATAAACGCCACGAGTACTTAGTACTTCCACGCAAGCTTCCTGGAAGCCTCCTGCATCTCCTGCGAACACAAGCCTTAGCAAACTTGTCTCTGAGGGGCCGTGTTTGTCAGTGCACGTGCACACTGCAAGTTTGCATGTGCATTCAAGAGGTCCACGTCCTATCGCAAGCACTCGGCAACACAGCGGGCGGCGAATGAGAATTCATTACCGAAAGAGCATCACATAACCATCTGGCTCAGATGACCGCTGCAAGCATACCGACCCGATCCATCGCTTCGCCTCTTCTCCACTGGGGTTGTGCTGCAAGAACATAGTCAATCAATCGGCGCACTGTTCATCCTAGACTTTAGGCCCTTTGGCGCGACCGTCGCGACCCATCGAAAAATCGTGATATGTCTGAACCCTGGCAACCGGGCCGAGGGGCCCGAGGATGATTTGAGGATGATTGTTGGATAATCCGCACAGGATGGAGGATGCCAAGAATGATGGTTTCAGGATAATGAAATGATGATTTCGGGATGATATTTGGATAGTTAAACGATGATTGAGCGATAACATTAGGACAATAAAGCGATAAAAAAATGATAATTTGCGGATTATTTGAAGATGATTTGAGGACGATTTGAAGATGATTCCCGCATTTCCCCATTTCCCCGCCCCTGCCCGCCTCGGCCCTCCCCTCCCGGGCGCATCTGCTGGGGCCCTGCCGCCCTGCCCTCCCCTGCCCCCCCCTTTGAGATGTAACCTGGACGTGTATCCCCTTGCTATGCGTGCAGGAACACAGGCACTCAGAAGTCTCTTTTTCCTGCAGGCGCACAGCTGTAGCCCTCTGCACTAGAACCTTGAGCAACAGGCATGGATACATGCAAGTGATACGTGAAACAGACAGGCACCTGGATGTGTAACATTCAGTGTTTCAACCAGGCACAAATCCAAAACACGTAGAACTTTCATGGCCGTGGAGTCGGCATTCTACAAGTCCGTTGTTGCCCAAGCGAATTATTACTGTGGAAATTGAGCTACATCTGCGACTTGCGAGAAACTATACATCTCAGCCTGGAGACAGCTTATGAAAAGAGCAGAGCACGCACACAAACACAAACGGATCGTCGGTTGAAAACTTTGCCTGAAAGTTGCCCACTGTTGTGTTCAGTTCCCGCTCCAGGTGGAAAGCATACTGCACATAAGATTGTAGAGTTTGGCTCCACTTGATGTCAGCATGACATCATTTCGGCGAGGCAAATAGTAAGGGCTTATATCCTGTGCATGGCGCTGGATATAGGAGAAAAAATCCACACCGTAGGCCTTGTTGATGCCGCCGACGAGCATCTGAAAGTCATCTCGCACAAAGCCAATCTCGCGGTACACATCCCTTTCCTTGAGGAAAGCATTGTGTGTGCCTCGAGCTTGCGAGAATAGTCCGGGTCCTCCGTCTTTGGAATACGCGAACGAGGATCATCATCTCTTGGAGGGCGGAAGCCTATGTTTCCAACAGAAGGTCGGAACTCCCATTCCGCCGCCCTCGAGACGCTCTTCATCCTTTCCGCTAGGCCTCCTGGATGCATACGAAGGTCCATGTTTGGGCTGCGGTGCCCATTCGAGTAGACCTTCGGCTTCTTCTCCAACTCCACGAGATAGTTTCCCTGAAGCTTCCCCATCTCAAACGCCTTGAGGAAGAAGTGCAGGGAATACCCGGAGAGTGGATGTTGCAACCAGGTTGCCCAGTCGTACTCTCCACCCAACGCATCTCGCATACTGGTCGACAAGGTGTGCCAGGGTGTGACCTGAACGATCGGATCGTCATAAGCAGTCAACATCTTCTGACCATTTGAGTCGACACAGTGCAAGAGACCGTGTGCAAAGAGATGCCACGGGTTTGTTCTTGCTTTGCGAAGAACCTCGTTGAGCTCCTCCTGCTGCTGGGCATTGTGCGCGTCAATTTTGACGTGAACAGTGTCACCAGACTGATACGCATGCTTGGTGGCCCCTTCGGATTGCGTGGCACTGGCCTGTCGCTCCCTCTCTTCCTTAACCTCATTCTCACGGATAAGCTTTTGCAGAGCGGCTGCGTCAAGTGTGGGTACCTCCACGGGCTGGGACACGCCGGTATCCTGAGATACCTTTGGGAGCTGGCCGAGGCTTCGGATCCGTGCTGCTTCCCGGCACCTCTCCCTGACGAGAGCCTCCGGAAGCCGAAGCAGATGCCGAGGCTCCCTCTTCATGTGAAGAGCCTACCCCTTGCAGAATTCTGCCTCTGCTCGTGGCGCAGACCACCAGGATCCTTCTCATGCGGACGGTAGTGGAACGTCAAGTACATCGGCGCCACGTCGGCATCTGAGAGCACCATGCCGTTGTCTCTGAGGTACAGCTCATGGGCATGGCTCAGAAAGCTCCCATAGTCAAGCTTGACGTAGAAGGTGTGCGAGCCGTACTTGATGACCGTCCCAGGCCCCGGAGAAACCTCCCCACCCGCATAAACGAAGTGGATGGCTCTCCTGTGCCTCTGCCACGAAGCCTTCTTGGCCTCCAGCAGCAATCCTTTCTCGCGGATACTCTCATAGTTAGAGATATCCGAGGCATGAAAGATCATGCCTAGGTGGTGGCATCTTTCCAGGGTGACCTTCTCACCCATGGCGGCTTCTGACACCTGCTCGGGAACTCTGCTGCGGCCTTCGCGGCAACACTGATCTCAAAATCCCAGTCGAGGAAGCGACTGAAGGATAATGCTCGGGGTGCCATCCAGAAGATGTTGAAGCGGCCCTTCGAGTTCGCCATCAGGAAGCTCAAGAATTTCCGTGGGTTCCACTCGATGGGCGAAGCTGATACCTCCTCATCATGTCCAGGGACACTTCCATATACTTTCTTGGAACGATCCGCTCATCGTGTCGCAAGAGCGCAGATAGCGCCTTGGAGCTGCGAACGGCCCAGCTGCCATGCTTCAGTTTGGAGACGTCGTAGATCTCCTTGTCCAGCGCGGCCAGCTCACCAGAGTCCAGGCAGCCCAGGAAACAGCAAAGGAACTCATACTTCCAGACAGGCTCTCCTCATAAAGACGGACATGCGACAGAAAAGCCAATTGTCCATCCTGAATCTGTGTTACGGCTTTCTCCCCATGTGGGAAGTATGCCGTAACATCCTGCTGTCTGTAGAAGCGGGGAACAGGTTCCGGCTTGATCTTGAGGGAGGCCACAGGCGCATCACGAGGAAAGGCTCGATTCCCCCTTGGAGGATAGATCACCCTGTCGTCCATCTCCAACTGATCGGAGTACACGACGCCAGGACGCGCTCTTCAGGTACATGGCAAAGTCAGGAACACCAGTGCGAATGTTCACCGTGAGGTTGCATCCGACGTTCAGGGGTCCAGAAGACCTGCACTGGCACCTCGTCTTGAGAGGAGCTGCCAGTATCCATCGAGGCGGGTCCTGCCGCAACCATGCTGGTAACAGAAGTGGAAGGTGTGGGCTACTTTCTCACTTGAGTTTTGAACCAGCGCATTCGAGCAATGCAGGCACAAATTTAAAAAGAGACCAACAACTCTTCAAGAATGTACATGCACTGAATTGCACTGACAGCTCACACATGAAGCAGCACATGACTCACAAACGCTCCTGCATGAACATGACATGTTGCACATGATTTAAAACCGCGTACTCCTTACGGAGCCAGGCGTTCAAGAAGGCCTTGTGCGTAATCATAGAACGAAAAGGAGGATTTGAATCATTTTCCTTCAACCACCCGGTTTGAACAGAAGTCAGGAGGTTTCTAGGATTCGCGCAACGTTTCGTGAGACAGTCAGACAAACAATGCTCGGTTTGAACGTGAGAAAGATCAGCAATAGCCCCCGAGCAAGCTTCCTTCCTCAGCATTTGAATCATGTGAATGGTTTCCTGTTGTTCGGGTGAGTGAGTAGTAGAAGCAGTAGACACGAGATTGTTAGCATCAGTTCGGATGTGAATCTCAGCGTCAAGACCGCTTATATCCTTCCACAAACCACGAAGCATTTGACAGGTACCAAAACACTTCATCAAAGCATACAACTCAGCGACAGTAGTGCGAAGAGTCGTTCTCTTGATCTTGGTAGATTCGAAGAAGACCAATGAGCCTCGGGTGTTCATCTGCAATGAAAATAGTTTAAGTGTTTTTAGAACCCCCGGTGCTAAACTGGTGTACCCAGACGCAGCGGCAATTGTTTGGAACTTGCGGCAATTGTTGCGACAATTGTTCGACTGTCAAAACAATTGCTGCGACAATTTTTTGCTTGTCGAAAAATCTTTTGCGAGCATTGATCGACTGCCATAACAACTGTTACGACATGTGTTTGATTATTGCTACAATTGTTGCAAAAGAACACAGGTTGAATGGAGAAAGCACCAAATAAATAAGAGGGCATTAAGGTGAAAGTAGAGACGCCAAGGTTCAAAGTAGAGAAACCAAAGTTTAAAGTAGAGAAACCAAATTTGAAGTAGAAAAACCAAATTTAAAGTAGAGAACGATTGTCGCCACAATTGTTTAAAAAATGTCGCGCGCATTGAACAATTTCCGAAACAATTGTCGCACGAATTGAAACAATCGAAAAACCACCCCAAACAATTAAACGATGTTTGTACACGATTTAGGAGGGGACTTGCGGACGGGGGTTCTAAAAACACCTAAAAAATAGTCATCGCTCTCTGCGAAGACCTATCGCTGTTGTTAGGAAAAGCTGCGTCAGGAATTCCAAGGATTCTCGGCGATCCCTTCACTGGCCACACCCGCAACTCAACCTCTTCACTGCGTATCTGTCGA